GCTGTGGCTCAAGTGGTAGAGTGCTAGCCTTGAGCTGAAGAGCTGAGGGACAGCACCCAGGCCCAGAGTTCAGGCCCCACGACCGGACCAAAAAAAAAAAAAAATTGTTCCTCATTTGACATGGTGGTAGTTTTAGTTATTTGAAAAACCAAAGATTAAGATTAAGATAGCAACCCCTTGCCATTCCAGGTATTTAATTAACAGTGCTTCTAGGTAGAAAAACTCTAATCTTGTTGTCCAGTTCCATTGATACTCTGTTTTCAAGCTGAAACCATAGCCTCGTACATGTGGACATTTGCAGGGACACCTCAGATTAAGTAGCCACTGGAATGTTCAGTAGAAGCTGGGTGCCTGGTAGAAAATGTCTATAATCCTACCTATTCAGGATGGTGAGATCAGTAGAAATGGAAAAGAGATAAGAACAGAAAGAGAGTCTTTGTTATAGGTAAGTATTTTTGTCTGCACTTGTAAAGGTTCAAAATGTGAATCTTAAGAAAAATGCCCATTTTTCAGATTATCACTTAATTTTTGTTTCTATGAAAATCAATAACATGTCCAAGTCATTATCCAAACCATCACCTTTGGAGGTTTTATACTTATTTTAGTGATATTGTTGTCTTTCAGAAGATTTCTGAAACTTGCCATCTAGGTGGATGGAGGTCATGCCTGACAAGATATTCTGAAAGAATGTGAGAAGGAGCACCAAATAATATGAGACTCTGAGTGTCATGAAATAAAGAAACATCAACTCAGTCTCTTAATTCAAAAATAGAAGACACTTTTAAAGTGCTAAATATAATGTATTTAGAAGTGATCATACTAGTTATGTTTAATACCTCTGTCCATGAAATTGGTAAAATATAGCTTAGAAGACTTTGTAGCTTTAAGAACAAAACTTGAGCCAGAAATCCTAGCTACTCAGGAGGATAAGGTCTGAGAATCTTGGTTCAAAGCAAACCTGGAAAGGAAGGTCCATGAGACTCTTATTTCCAATAAAACACTCAGAAAAAACCAGAAGTGGTGCTATGGCGCAAGTGGTAGAGTGCTATCCTTGAGCATAGAGAGAGGCTCAGGGACAGAGCCCAGGCCCTGAGTTCAAGCCCCAGGACTGACAAAAACAAACCAACCAAAATAACAAAACCTGAATAGCTCCCAAGAGAAACTGAATTAATCTTTAAGTTCGGCAGTTCAACAAATGTTAATTGGAACCTACTAAGGGTGAAAGGCTGTGCTGTACAAAGATAACGAGTAAGAGAGATCATGATTTTGAGGCATTTAGGCTATTGGGGTGGGGGGGAGTAAGCATATCTACAAATTTCGCAATGACTAATGGCTCTGACAGGAAGCTTTCAGGGAATACCCTCCTGCTCTCCATAACATGGCCTTCGGATTCTTGTTAGCAAAGGATAAATCAAGAGGTAAAGTTACCCTACAGATGCTTAAAGGAAGCATCACAAAATAGTAATTACTTCTCTTAGGTTTTTCTCTTTGTTTTTTTTATTGTAAAAATAGGATACAGAATGGTTATATTTACATGAGTAAGGTAATGAGTACATTTCCTATCAAGTGTTGTTACCTCCTTCTTTGTTTATCTCCTACCATCCCTTCCCTCCCTACCTCCCCAACTCCTCCCTCCAGTTTTTTATTTCCTAATCATTTCTGCTTTTAGATATAAGATTCTGGGGCTGAGAGGGTGGATGAGAGTGGTAGAGTGCTTGCCTTGCATGCATGAGGCTCTGGGTTCGATTCCTCAGCACCATATAATCAGAAAAAGCCGGAAGTGGCACTGTGGCTCAAGTGGTAGAGCACCAGCCTTGATCTGGGATAGCACCCAGGCCCACAGCTCAGGTCCTATGACTGACAAAAACAAAACTGAAGAGTTCTAGATATAAGATTCTATCTTAGATATAAACTGATTTACTTTTAAAACTATTTTTCAGATCACTAAAAAGAAGTCTACTTTCCCAAATCCATTTCATTTGGGAAATTTGAAAAAGGACCTTTCAGAAAAAGAATTGGAAATATATAATACAATGAAGTAAGAAACCTTCTGATACTGGGGGTTTGGGGCTTTTTTTTGGTTCCAATCCTGGGACTTGAACCTAGAGCATGGTCCCTAGCCACAGCTTCACCTCTGGCTTTTTTGGGAGTTCATTGGAGATAAGAGTCTCATAGACTTCTCCTGCCTGAACTGGCTTTGAACCTCAGCCGCCTGAATAGCTTGGATTTAAGTTGTGAGTCCCTGGCACCTGGCTCTCTAATACTCTTTTTCACATAAATTCATTTGTCTTTGAGGAAGTTTTACTATAAGTACAATTTCAGAGCATGTTGTGTTTACTCAAGTATAATTAAGATAGATATTACATAGTTGAGGTGATATGATATTTCTGTTAATATTTCATTACACATTTTAAGTAAAATGAACATTCAGGGGCTGGGAAGGTGGCTCAGTGGTCGAGTGCTTGCCTTGCATGCATGAGGCCCTGGGTTCAATTCCTCAGCACCACATAAGCAGAAAAAGCCAGAAGTGGTGCCATGGCTCAAGTGGTAGAGTGCTAGCCTTGAGCTGAAGAGCTGAGCGACAGCACCCAGACCCAGAGTACAAGCCCCATGACTGACCAAAAAAAAAAGAACATTCATATTATAAGAGAGTAAAACAACCCATTTATTTCTCTTTCACAGGTAAGATTTATAGATTATATAGATATAATCTATCTGTATCTACTTTTTTTTTTTTTTACTTTAGACTCTGGCAAATGCCCAGTTTATCCCTTTGCATAGATTCACTCCCAGTGCTTGAAAAAGATAGCTGCTAATGGCTCAAAGTTGCGCTCCTCCTGAAAGTAGTACCTTTCTAATGACTACTTGCTCTGTCTCAGTTCTATCACCCACCTACAGCTATAACTCTCCGGACCTTAGCCCACTAAACTTACTCAGTCTGGGTTCCAAGAACTGATCCTATAGGAACTAGGTAACAACTGGGCGCCGGTGGCTCACGCCTGTAATCCTAGCTACTCAGGAGGCTGAGATCTGAGAATCATGGTTCAAAGCCAGCCCAGGTAGAAAAGTCTGTGAGACTCCTATCTCCAATAAACCACTAGAAAACAGGAAGTGGTGCTGTGGCTCAAGCAGTAGAATGCTTGTCCTTGAGCTGACGCAGGGACAGCGCCCAGGCCCAGAGTTCAAGCCCCACAACCGACAAAAAAAAAAAAAAAGAACCAGAGAATAGCTCGAAGTTACACCTCTAAGGTGAAAGGAACTAAGGATGGACTGTTTGACTACTTAAACTGTGTATATTGCAATTTGCAATGTTAGTCACCTCTTGTACAGTCGTGATTGACAGTTGTGTCTGTTTTGCCTGATACTTAATTTTGATAGTCATATATAAAAATCACATTTTTGGGCTGGGAAGGTGGCTCAGTGGTAGAGCGCTTACCTTGCATGCCTGAGGCCCTGGGTTCAATTCCTCAGCACCACATAAGCAAAAAGAAAAAAGCCGGAAGTGGCACTGTCGCTCAAGTGGTAGAGCGCTAGCCTTGAGCTGAAGAGCTGAGGGACAGCGCCCAGGCCCAGAGTTCAGGCCCCACAACCGGACCCCCAAAAAAAAAAAATCACATTTTTGGCTTAAGCAACCAGATATGTGAAAGTAGAATTCTTTCACAACCTCACAACACACAAACATGAGTGCATAACTATCACCTTTTTTAATCACGGAAACATTTGTTTAAGAAGTTAAAATCAGTAAGTTACTAAATTACCAGATTTTTTTTTTCCTGAGAGGGTCTACTGAATTAAAAATTTTGGTTTTAATGCTTCCACATATGAATGGTTAGTTTTTAAAAAATAATCATACTTGTTTTTAAATCTGAATCATGACCTTAATGGAACCTTAAAACAACTTTACAAAATGTTGATATTCTCCAGTATTTTGTTCCCTCCATAGCATATTTCTAATTACATTGTTTTGGCACCATCTCTAGTAAAGAGATTTTTTTTTTCAGTAACTTAGATTCACATGTGATGTAAGTCATAGACTCTTACTTAAAAAGATGCCAGAGATCCTTTTTCTTCCCTCATTATTGAATGAGAAGGTGTTCTATGCAGTATACTATAGCTCATTTTAAAAGCATGTAATATATTATCCTCATATGTACATTTTTAGCAAATAAAATATATATGATATAGTAAAAACACTTATGTATATGTGTGTATGTAGCATATATAATTTCATTCGTTAAGAAACTACTGTCCATTAGTATTGCAGTCTTTCTTGAGTCCATCAGCCATTTCCTGTGGATACTACCTTGGTTCAAACTCCCGTTTTTCCCTTCCAGCTTTTAGAAATGAATCTAACTTTATCTGCTTTTTTGTATAAATCTTTTGTCTATTGTTGGATAATTGATTGGTGACTTTTTTTAAACTTTCAGTTAATAAGCACTGATTTTGAAGAGCTAAACTTCCTCTTTGTGTTTTATTTTTGAGGAAAAATATAGATAACAAAAATATTGATCCTTGCTATCCTCCAAGTGTATCTTATTAGCAGTTTGGGGTTCTTTTGATATAACTTTGTTATTGTTGTTAGGGTGTTATACAGAGGGGCTCATGTCATGAGTCAGGCTATGAGTTTATTTCTTCTTATGGACAGAGCTTCCCCGTCCCTTAGCTTTCCTCTAGTTTCCCCCTCCCATCCCTGCCCACAACAGTTTGGGTTTTTTTTTTAAAGAAATAATTTCTATTCTTTGTCTATATTTGAATTTGAAGACCTCTGACTTAGAATGATCCGTTTTGAATAAATATAATTTTCCTCATCTTGATTTTTTTTAAGATATCAGCCATCAGTTGTTAGTCAACTACCCTCTAAAAATTTTGTAGATGATTTCCTTCCCTCTCTCTCCCTAAATTTGGTAATAACAAATTTATTCAGATCATGCTGTTCAGACAGATTAACAAATTTATCAGGGTTAGCATAAATGATGGGCGAAGGAACTAGGGCAATAGCTTAAATATGTCTTTTCTTTGGTTGTGTGCTTAATTTTTGTGTTTTTTGTTGTTGTTTTGTCGGTCATGGGGTTTGACCTCTGGGCCTGGGTGCTTTTCCTCAGCTCTTCAGCTCAAGGCTAGTGCTCTACCACTCGAGCCACAGAGCCACTTCCGGTTTTCTGAGTTTACTGGAGATAAGAGTCTCATGGACTTTTCCTGCCCAAGCTGGCTTTGAACCGTGACCCTCAGATCTCAGCTCCTGAATAGAAAGGATTACAGGCATGAGGGGCTGGGAAGGTGGCTCAGTGGTAGAGCGCTTACCTTGCATGCCTGAGGCCCTGGGTTCAATTCCTCAGCACCACATAAGCAAAAAGAAAAAAGCCGGAAGTGGCGCTGTGGCTCAAGTGGTAGAGCGCTAGCCTTGAGCTGAAGAGCTGAGGGATAGCGCCCAGGCCCAGAGTTCAGGCCCCACGACTGGACTCAAAAAAAAAAAAAAAAAACTCAGCAGGGGAGAACAAAAAGAAATTACTGGAAGAGCAACTCAAAAGGCAGCTAAGGTCTGCTGCTATTGGCTATGAGGTTTCAATCCAGTTAATACAAGCTAGTTGAACATTAGTTTCCTTGTGGTTAAAATGAGGATAATAATTAATATCCTAACACACTTGCCCTGGCATACAGAAAACAATCAGTAAATAGTAGCGACTGCATTATTGCTTGTCCTTGCCATTACTGTGCTTCACCTCTTTTCTCAACTGGTAGAAATTAGTTCTGTTTACAGCTTCTGCTGATCTGAGATTATGGAGAGGAAAATATAGGGAAGAAAAAAAAGTGAGAAAACATTGGAGAAAAGAAAGATTATAATGATGAGATGTAATAGGATAATATCACTTATTACCACAGTATAGAATATTAACCCAACTTTAAAACTGCTAATAATGATTGCATTTCTTCAGAATTACTAATTTTTACTGTCACGGTAAAAGACTTAACTGCTGCTGACTTAAATGTGTCTACTTTGCTGGAAGATATTTTTATATATCCTCACCCCAAACTGATACCTTCTTTCTGGCTTGAAGAAGTCTGGGGCAGACAGGAACCGAGTAGTTCATTACCAGCTATAGAAAGAGAGGCTTGACCAATTTGGGTTGTTCAGTGAAGGGACAGTTGTGAGTTGCAAATGAACTACTAGTGCTCATTAGCTTAACAAGCTGATTCCTTTTGGAGAATTACTAATATTCCTACTATATACTTTAGTTGTAGATGAAGAAGGAATTAAATGTTTGGCCTATGTTCCCCTTCCTAATTATACTACTCAAGTTTGCTTGTAAATTCAAAGTGAAACAATATTTTTACTTACTTAAATTTTTCCTCTCTTTTTCTCTCTCCTCTTGTCTCTTTTTCTCTCTCTCCTTACAAGACTGACATCTGGGCCTGAGAATACTCTTTTCCACTACCTTGCCTTGGAAACAGTGCAAGGAATTTTCATCACTCCCACCCATGAGGAAGTAGCTCAGCTAAGCGGCTCTGTCCACCCTCAGCTAATAAAGAATTTTCATCAGTGTTGTCTCTCTATCCGTGCAGTTTTTCAACAGACACTGGTGAAAGAGGTAAACACAGTTCTATAGAGTTCTCTGTGATATAATTTCCAATTTGTAAACATTATCTCTACTCTCTAGTTAATATATGCAGCAATGTTTTCATGTAATTAAGGTGTTTTTTAACAGCCAGTTAACCTAACTTCAGTTTTTTAAAAGATTATGCACATATTACTTAACCTCAAATGTTCATTTATTATATAATACTGTGTTAGATGTCCTAGGTTAATATTTCAGGAAATGGTAGGTGTGTTTAAAGCAAAAGTAGAATGTAATGTAATACAATTTTGTAATTTATATTTGTATACAAGTAACATCTTCTATTTGATATTTGTTACTCAAACACAACCATTATTTGGTCAGAAGGCTTACCAATTAGTTCCTAAAATAAGGCTGATAATCTTTTATGTTTTCAGCCAACAATATAAATTGTTTTGGAATATAAAGTGGTCTTATAGTTAAGCCATAGACACACTACTACTGAAAATGTTTTAGCAATTTGTTGACCGTTTGCTTCTCAACCTGGGTAAGGACTAGTACTGTACATAATTAAAATATCAGTTAGATTGCTTTGATACAGGGAAAAATGGGTGTTGATTTCTAATAGCATATAAACATATAGAGATTTACTTATAACTAGTCAAATATTCAGCCAGTAAAAGCTCTCTGAAGATAGTTGTATTTTGTACACCAATATGTATATGTAAGTATGGCAAGTTTAAAAGTAGAACTTTGGTTATGAGGTGATGGGTCATGTCTGTAATCCTAGCTGCTCAGGAGACTGAGATCTCAGGATCATGGTCAAAGTCAGCCTGAGCAGGAAAGCCCACGAAACACTTATCTTTAATTAATTACCAAAAATTCCAGAAATGGAGCTAGAGCTGTGGCTAGTGTGCTAGTCTTGAGCAAAAAAAAAAAAAAAAAACTCTGGGAGAGCACCCAGACCCTTAGTTCAAACCGTAGGACTGGCACAAAAACAAAACAAAACACTGAGAGAGATGATGATAACTGCTTTAAAAAGGTCCCTCAGGACATGTCCAGTAATACTTGAACAGACATGAGTGATGCAAGGGATGGAACACTGTAGCTGTCTAGATGTATGGTTTGGGAAAGGCCAAGGTATAGTTACAGGGATGGGAGAAGCTGGAGTAGAAATCACTGGAGTAGCCTGAAAAGAGTGGGAAGTGGTAAGATCTGGAAGGTATGAGAGCCAGATCAAACATGCCTCATCTGCTGTGGAAGGACTTTGTGCTTTGTTCTAGAAGAGAATGGTTTTGAGCAGAGGAAGAAGGTACTCCTTAGTTTTTAAACATAATCCCTGGGGCTGCTTTGGAAATTAGGCTGTAGAGAAAGGGAGCAGGGCCAGTGAGGAGACTACTATTAGAATTCTCAAAGCAAGAATGACAGTTGCTTCTGGATTCTGGATGTATTTTGTATGGTGAAACAAAAGAATTTGTTGATGGACAAGAGAGAAAAGAATTAAGAATCACTGTTGTCTTTTGGGCCTGAGCCTTATAAAAATATCTATATTCTGCATAAGTTATTGGTTTGCAAATGAATAAGAAATTTAGAAAGTATGCACATCAAAGGAATGCTTTAAATATATTTTAGGTTTGGTATAGAGTATTTCATCCACTTATTACTGAATAAGCCCCTAACACTCTATATAAACACCAATGTGCTAAAAATATACAAAGGCATATAGTGTCTTGTCTCTGCCCTGGGATAAAAGGTTATAATCTTCTTTCTTCCACAAGGAAGACAGACTTATAAACTGCTAATATAATACAAAGCAATTACAACAAAATGGATCATTGAACAAAGTGTACCTTAAGATATACTTTACTGATGAAGTCCCCTTTAGGAAACAGTAATTACGTATTGAGGAGGAGTAGAAAAGTTCTTGAAGGTAAGGGGAAGAATAGCACTGTAGAGTCTTAAGTATTAGGATCAGGAGTTCAAATCATGTTACATATGATCACCAGTTATACTAATAATGTCTATTAATTTATAGAAAAAGAAGGCACTAAACAGTGAAGATCATTCACATTCTACAAATTCTACAGTATCTTCTCTTAGCCCTGTGAAAGAATATGGTGTGTTGTTTGAATGCTCTCCTGAAAATTGGACTGATCAGAAAAAAACACCACCAGTTATGACTTACTGGGTAGTAGGGTAAGTGAGAAAAGAGTTTGAAAGTAAACTAAATTGTTACAAAGTTAAAAAAAAAGTAGTAAAGCAGACTAATGTTTTAAAATACAGGGATTTATTAATCCAGCCAGGGTATTTAAATACTATATTTGAGTTTTTATTTACTAATATCACCATTAAATTCCTCCCAATCATTTCTTATTACAAAAATTGGCTATTGAGTTTATCTGGCAAAATCACTAAAAGAATAATTCCCTATTTTTCCTCCCCTTTCTTACTTCACTACTTCTCTTCTTTCATGTCTCTTTTATTTCTGTCTTTCTACTCCTTTACACACATAAGATACAACTCAGTCCAGGCCACCTCTGTTTCACTGTCTCATCGCTCTTCTCGCTTCAGTGTACTGTCACATTAGCACCAATCAAATCTTGTTACTGCTATTCCTTCTTCATGGAATGTTGTCCCTTAACCTTTTGCACATCTGGTTCCTTGATATTCAAACCAGGACTAACAGATGATCTCCTCACTTAGGATCTATCATCTCTTTTCCATCATTGAAGAGTTACCAGTAGTTCTCTGTATTGCCTCTTTGGTATTTTTCTTGCTTGATTCTTGTCTTTCTACATCACCAAAATGTCAGCACTGTGAGATAAGGAATTGTCTTGTGCACAATTGGTGTCTACAACAGCACCTGGCACATACCAGTTGCTTCATAATCATGATGGCTTAGTAATGGAGGTAGCCTAGGCAAAATGTGGTGGTGGATGGAAAGATGGGTGGTATATCAAATAGGAAAATGAAGATATGGTCATTATTTCCAAGAATATTCTATTTTACAGAATATGAAATATGCTTAAATATCTATATATTTATAAGTATTATATAGGCATTTACATATGTATATATGTAAATATCCAGAAAATACTACTAAATGCTATAGGAGTCTTGAGGAGGAGGGTGAAATCTAAGCACAGATTAAAATCAAAAGATTAGAGGCACTGGGCCAGGAACCTATTTTTAAAAATCTCCCTTGTAATTGAATTGAGTATGTAACCCACTAGAGTTGAGAACATCAACCTAAATTTAACTCTGTAGTCTAAATAGAATTGGACTTTTATAAAATTAAGTCAATCTATGTAATGTTGGAAAGAAAGGAAAAACTAGAGATGAAGAGTTAAGTTACATGCATGTTTATATAGATGTGTAGTATAACTTTACATTAGAACAACTGGGATGGAAAGAGTCAAAAAGTGTTGAATTATAATGCAGAACCACAAAGAAGAGAACTTTGAAAAACATCAGACAGAACTACTCCCTAGGGGCTGGGAAGGTGGCTCAGTGGTAGAGCGCTTGCCTTGCATGCCTGAGGCCCTGGGTTC